ACAACTTCCATATATTGAAGACTCAGAAAATGAGAAATATAAAAATTAAATTACCTTGTTTTACTTTGTGCCTACAAGTCTTTTTACTATACAAAAGTATAGGTAAAAAGACTATACATAAATATATAAAATCCTCAACATGGTAAATTGTTTAATAAATTATGGTCCACACATAGAATGGAGTTCACTTTTCTTAGAATGAGATTTTTAGATGATAGAATACCTAGCGAGATAGACAGACAGGATGGAAATTATAATATAGCTGGTAAAGAAAACACTTTACATGTGTGCACAACTATGATTCAATTCTTATAAAATCAAAAAATAATTACATATAACGTGTGTGTGAGCTAGAGAGAGAAAAAAGAGAGAAGTGGAAAGGGTTAAATTTCATAATTGCTATAACAGAAGCACAGGTATGCAAATCACCTAAAAGTCATATTGATTTTTTTAGGATATACATTTAAAAGAATGGCAGCCAGGATATAGATCTAGTCTAAGGTATTTTCACTTAGTAGTTCACTTTTCAAAATTGTAAGATAACTTTTTGGATCAACAGTAATATTGTAAAGATTTGAGAGAAGTATTAAGCTCCTAGAGCTAACTCTGAAGAACACGTATGATTGTGATCAAATTCAGAACGACATATATTTTTTGTGGAAAATAAGTTCTTCCCAAGGGTTGTTCCTAAATTTAACTTAGTCAGACAAGCTTAATGAATGAGGTTATTCTGGCCTTCAGAACAAGTTGGGAAAAACAGATATGCAATCATAAATAGGAATATGTGTCATCCTGATTCTTGGCAGCCAAGTCCCAGAAATACAATTACTGGCTCTCACAGCTTCTCAGTACAAAGAAGAAGAACTACAGGAACTAAGAGAGTTTGGGTCATCGTATAAATTAAAAGAAAAAAAAATTGCATACATGGTCAGAAAATAATGATGCTTACTCTATGTGGAAAGCCAATTTATGATAAAAGGTTGTTTTCAAAGCAATAACTCAATAAATACACAGCGATTTATTAACTAATCATTCAATAAACTCTGATAAGGAAAACCTTAGCCAATATGGAGCCACTTTCATTTGGCTAGTGCATTTCCAAACTTCTTTTTGTCCATATCAGTCTAGAGGCTAAACATGTGATGTGTGTGTGTGTGTGATAGAGAGAGAAGACGACTATGAAAATGTGATGTTTCTTATTTGCTACAGAAGAAGCACAGGTATGTAATCATCTAAAAGCCACATAAAATGTTTCTGATATATGTTTAAAAGCATGATAGCCAGATTATAGGTGTATTCTACAGGCCTAAGTCTATTTCTTTCTCAGCTTCCTTGTATCTAGGAGCCCTGTGCAGTCAGCTCTTGCCAAGGAAACATAACCATAAGCCTATTAGGACTTTTAGTATAGCATTTACTTTTCTGTGAAAAGGGGGAAATGTTGCAGCCTCTATTTTTCTGATTACTTCTTCCTCCAGGGAACACAATTGTGATACCTGAAAATAGAGCAGTGAGCTTTCGTGAATAAGTCAACAAGCGTACACTCTTAAGTTACAAACTAAAAAACAGAAGGAACAGGGGTCTTCAATTATATAAAAAAGTTGTTTTCCCTGACCTGGACTACCTACCTCCAAAATTTTTAACTGAGACCATTGGTGTTATTCTTAACTGAGCAATGGTGTTGCTGCTTAAGTCACTAGTGTTTAGGTACACTGTAACATGAAGCTGAAAATATTGCTATCTCATACTACCATTTAGAAAAATTAAGATATGATTTTAGGCCACACACAAATATAAACCTAGATATAAAAACAGAGATGTAAAATTCAACATTGACATTCTCACACATTAAATTAAAAAACAACTAAGACAAATGAAAATTAACATAATTGAAAAAAGATTGCAATATAAAAGAAGACACAGAGCTTATCTATAATGAGGGAAGCGCTTCTCAAATATCAAGAGAAAAACGTACTTAAAGAAAATAGGAAAAGCACATGAACATAAAAACCACTGAAAGTGTTAATTTCCAGTAAAAATAAAATTATCTTCAAATTCTCTATTAAAGAAATGAATCAGAAGATTCAAAAATCTGAATTATCCATTGTTATCAAAGATTCAAGAAGATATACAATCTTAGCAATAGGGTAAGTTGGTATAACTAATCAGGAGAGAAATTTTATTTCAAGTGCATTTATTTTAAATGTATATTTTAGTCAAGTAAGCAACGTTGCCTATAGGTTTCCTAAGTAATTACAAAAGCTTTCAAATATGGGTCAGGGTGCTTGCTGCAACATTGTTTTAATATTCTCAATAAATAAATGAAGACATACTAATGTTCACCAATGGTGACTTAGTTAATAAATGATTGTTCAAACATAGAATGGAAATCTATCCTCTTAAAAATGAGATAGATTGGTAGCCAAGTAGATGGGGGCCAATGGGAAGGAAGCAGGGATGAAAAGTATCTGTAATCTTATAGGTAAAGGAAAAACAAGCACTTTTCAGAGCATGAGAACTCTGAAATGAAATAGTGTGAAATGAAATGCTACGTTTAAAATGTTAATAAACAAAATAATTACATTTACACTAAATAGGGCATTCTGAAATTTAAAATTCTAGAATATATGCCAAAATTTAGACAGTATTTATTTCAGTGTAGAGTCAGGCAAAATAGGGAGAATTAAATACTACTTTAAATATTTCTGTGTTTTTAAATTTTGGAACAATAAACCCATTTAATATATAGACATAAAAATACATATAAGTACACACAGCTCTCACACATTCAATTGTTAAAGTACAACTATTGTTAAAAACAATTATTCAGATTTGCCTCGTAAGGAAAAACTTGTGACATTCTTTGAATTCATAGGAAAAAAGTTAAGAATAAAGTTTCTAAAAATAATTTCTTTCTTTTCTGTACAATTACTGTTAACATTTCTTTTTAGTTGTTTCTAAATGAATCTATCTTTGGTAAGTATCTATTTCCTTTTTTAATTGATTTATTTTCACAATGTTTAACTCATGAAGATGTATACGTTTTCCTAGGATTTATCATACTATCCAACATATTTAAATCTCAGTTGTTAGTATTTTATTTCACAAAATTCAGCGGTGATTTGATTTGATATGGCATCAATCCAACATGAGTATTCAAGGTGGGAAAGATATGTTCGTCCTTTTTAAAATGTTTTTTTAATTATTGTTTTTATGGGTATATCTTAGGTGTATAATTTATGAGGATGTATGCAACCTTTGGTCAAAATACTGAATTAGACAAAATATATACTCTGAAATTATTTGATACCTAATTTTTCAAAGCATACCATAATACTTTCATTACTAGTTTATTTTCCAGAACGTAAGTGCAGTAAGAAGAGAAATTGAGAAGGTGGAATTCGTTTCTTAATGTATTGTTCTTGAGGTGCTTATGGAACATCAAAGTCCGAAAAATTTGCAAGTACCTGCCAGGAAAATGCTCTAGCTTAAGGTTTTAAAATTAGGAATTTAAACCATGAGTGCATGACATAAGACCTTGAAGCTATATAGCAGGAAAAGATAAGCGTCAAAAGTGGAAGAAAGCCTTGGGACACCATACTTCAAAAAGCAGAAGAGTCCACAAGGAATAGAGCAAAATTGCCTGGAGAATAGCAGGAAAAACAAAAGTATGATGCTTTAGAAATTAAGAGAGGAGAGATTTATATAAAGTGAGCAGTGATTAACCAGGCTAAATGTTACAGTAAATTAACAAAAATATAGAATTTAGTGATTTTCTTTGGAGTTAGACCTTAGAATACTATTAGGCCTTGGAGAAGGCAGTTTAAATTGATTTGGTAGAGGGTCCTAATGTAATGCATCTGAGCAAAATGAAAATCAAAAATCAGATAAAATGAGTGACTTTAAAAAATGTAACAAAAATAACTTGGAATTAATATAAATAGATGATAACAACCATGATGATCTTGAAAAGGGTGGTACTTCTAGGTCCTAATGAGGCAGGGACTACCTTATTTTGCTGCAGAGAAATTTACTGGAAATATAAGCAAAGCCCAGAGAATAATAATATAAAAACAGCTTAATAAACCTGTTATTCTGGTAAGAGTGAGGTAGTTATTACAGGATCAAAAGCCTGAACATTTTATTCATCATGAGTTAAAAGATTAAGCTGAGATATAATTTTTCTGAGGTTATAGAAAAGCACAAAGAAAAATAAAGTATTAGATAAAGAGTTAGAGCTTCTAACTTTTCAGTGAATTCCTCTACATGGGTTGCATGCAAATCCAGATGTCATGGTTCCATATTAGATTTTGGAAAATACAATTTAATAATTAAAGTTAGCAGTTAAATTTTTAATTATGTAGAACCTAATTGTAGAATTAAAAAATAATTTAGAATAGAATGTAGTCTGGATATTTACATAATGTATTTACATTAAAATTGTATCTGTCATTCTAAGGGAAGAAATGATTTCTTCTTGTGTGTTCACAGCTGTCACTATCTTATTCCTAAACCTGCTTATTCTCCCTGACACCAGTCTCTTCATCCTACAATGCATTCTCCATCAAGATTGATTTTTTTTTAGAAGGAGTCTCGCTTTGTCACCAGGTTGGAGTGCAGTGGCATGATCTTGGCTCACTGCAACCTCTGCCTCCCGGGTTCAAGCAATGTCCCTGCCTCAGCCTCTCAAGTAAATGGGACTACAGACACATGCCATCACGCCTGGCTAATTTTTTTTTTTTTTTTTTGTATTTTTGTAGAGATGGAGTTTACCATGTTGGCCAGGATGTTGTCGATCTCTTGACCCCATAATCTGCCTGCCTCGAGCTCCCAAACTGCAGGGATTACAGGCATGAGCCACCACACCTGGCTTAGATTGATCTTTTTAAACCAAGTGTCTGAAAATGCCTTTTTAAGTTCAAAATAGTGCACTGAAAATAAGAACTTGCCTCTCTTCTCTCCTAAGTCCACAATACAATTTGCAAATGCTGATAGATAAAATAATCTATTGAATTTGCTTCACACATTTGCATGTCATCCTTGTGCAAGGGCCATGCTAATCTTCTCTGTATAGTTTCAATTTTAGTATATGTGCTGCCAAAGCAAGCACAGGATTATTTTTAAAGAGATATTCTTAAATTCTAGGCTGAAGTTCCAAGTCATATTGGAACACTGATGGATCAAGGAATATGTGAACCTATCAATCAGGCTAAATGTGTACATGCTAACAGTCTATGATGGAGAAAAGTCCTTATCCCAGGGAGCTACCTGGATCAAAGACAGCAATGCCATGCAAGGTGGGAGTATGAAGAACAACTAAAAGCAGAGTTAACTGGAAGTCTGTCTAATGAAATATGCTAGTCAGGTGTCCCACACATCATCACTACTAGCCTCTTCCTTATTTCAGTGAACACTAAGCATAAGTAACCCAGCTTTATACTATCAGGAATCCAAATTAGTACTCATATTGAATATTAATTAATTGTACAGGGAGAACAAAGGTTTTGAAGTGTATAGAATGGCTTTCCATGCAAAGGATGAAGCTCTCCTCATTTTAACATCCGAAGATGCTAAAATGTTTTCTCCTGTGCTCACTCTAATTGTGATAAGCACTGTCTCTACCTGAGTTCCCAATCCTAGTTCTACCAGTAGTGCGAGAGACCTAGCAGAAAAATAGACATACACGATAGAGAAAAATCACAGGAGTCATCAGTCTTCCATTCTTAAATGTAAGTGAACTAAGAACCATTATATAGATGAAGCTTAGAAAACCAAGATAACCAAAAAACAGCTGACCGTGAAGAAACGAAAGTAAATCAAAAAACGTAAGAAAACTTTAAAAACAAAATTTGAAAAATTTATACATCATTATTAATTTGAAAAATTAATATATCCATTAAGGAAGAAAAAGAGGCTCTGAAAAATAAATGAAAGAAAATGTAAATTACACCTGTAATGTGAACATATTACTGTGTTTCTGGGATGGCTATGATTTAGTATAATAATCCAAAGAAAATTTTTATTTTCTATTTGAATTAAGAGTTTCACTTTCTTTCCAGGAAATATTTTAATATAAGTTCTAATAAGACGCATAATCCACAAATTTTAAATATTATGTCTTTTAATTCTCAAACGAAGGTAAACAGCAATAAAGACTAACCAAAACAAGAAAAAGTAATCAAAAGCATACAGATTTCACATAAACAAATGTATACTCAGTTGCTGACTGTTTTGCTTACATATGCTTAATAAATGCACTAGTTACTGCGCTCTTTGGCACAAGAATTAGGAGCCAAATTTGCATATTAGTAAAAGAAAATAAAACAAAAACTTAAGTTTTTGTTTTATCTCATACTACTATAAAAGAAAAGAAAAATTATAAATGTACAATTCACATGAATGATTCACAAACTGACACAAGTAATTGACAAACTCCTAGTTGTTTTCTTAGATATTAGTATTACTTTTCTGAAACAAATGAAAATTCTACCAAATATATATATATTATAAAACATTTTCAGCTATAGGAAATTAATGTTATCTCATTCTTACCCACAGTCTTTAATAAGCACTGTGAATGAACTATTCAACTTTTCCATGAGATGAATATATAGAAACATTATTGTATTTCCTTGTATCATAATTAACATGGATTTTGAAAAAATAAATACCATAAGTAAAGTAGAATTGATTTATAAAAACATGTATTCAATAAATATAAAAAAAATTATGGTGATTGACTCAAACTCTTTGCTATGACTTATGAATCTTTTTCATTGTGGGAGGTAAAACATAGTTCAACTTATAATATTCAACTTTTAATTCTATCCCTTGGTTCTCATAAAATGGGGTCCACCATGTGCATTTATGAATGCAAAAGACATTTACATAGGCACATCATTCACTGCATTTATGTCAGAGAATGCCAAAATGTAAATCTCTTTGCAGGATGAAATGTTTGTTATTCAAACTGCAAATTGAACAGCTGTAAGGGCTGAGAAAGTATCAAAAATCACCACACAGGATACAGATTTTAATTCCTGCCCTTCACACATATATGCACAATTACAAAACAAGAAACAAAAACAAACCTGCACATGTATTGGTCCACAAGGGAGGGAGACAGTGAAACCTCAATGTTAAAAATTCAAAATATCAGTTTTAAATCTTTCTAATTTGATTCTGAAGCAAAAAGAATGCATCTTAATTTTAAATATCAGCCTGATTAGTTTATTCAAATTTAACTGTGCTTGAAGCACTCTGATTTCCCTGAATTAATTAATGCTTTTTCCTCTTCCTTAGTACATTTTTTTTTTTTTTTTCAGTTTTTCTACCTATCCTAATGCTCTTCATATTTTGCTTTTGTTTTTATTTTTGAGTTAGGGTCTCACTCGTTGTGTGACTACAGCTCATTGCAGCCCTGACATCTGGGCTTAAATCCTCCCACCTCAGCCTCCTTGAATAGCTGAGACCATAGACACATGTCCGTATGCCCAGCTCATTTCCTTTATTTCTTTTTTTTGGAGAGATGGAATCTCAGTATCTTGCTCAGGGTGGTCCCAAACTCCTGTCCTCAAAGGATTCTCATGCCTAAGCCTCCCAAAGGGCTGAACAGGCACCTGCCTGATCTAATTTATCTTTTAATGTCAACATAGTTTCTGCCTCAAAATTGTTCTCTAAATTTTGTCCAGTTTGTGTTCCTTTCTCCATTCACTTCATGCAAATTAAATGTAATGTTAAGTTAATTATGAAATTACCATATTCTACTGTGTATTATAGCTATTTACTTTCTGTCTCTGATGCACTTTCTTTAATAGACTGTGAGCTCATTCTGAGATTTGACTCAGAACAATTTTTGTGCCTGTTCCCCATGGTGTCAAAAACACTGTGGTTTGGATATAATTAATTTCCATAAACATTAATTTTCTTATTGTAGAACAGACGAAAAATCTAAGCATATACTTATAATATCTAACACGACTAATATTCATCTTTGAAATTTCAAAATGGAGGGTATGTCAATCTTCCACTACAACCTTGTAAACAAACAAACAAACAGGAGTTTTACATAACTACAAGCTCAGATAACTACCTAGAAAACCAGACATTTACCAAGATGATTTGAGAGAAATGTATGTTCATAAAATAGGGGTAGCTATGGCACTGCATGTATCAGTAATTGATATGGTTTGATTGTGTCCCCACCCAAATTTTACCTCGAATTGTAATAATCTTCATGTGTCAAGGGTGGGTCCAGGTGGAAATAATTGAAAAACAGGATCAGTTTCCTCATGCTATTCTTCTGCAGTGAATAACTCTCATGAGATCTGATGACTTTATAAATAGAAGTACCCCCTGTTGTCATGTAAGACGTCCCTTTGCTCTTCTTTTGTCTTCTGCCATGATCGTAAGGCGTCTCCAGTCATGTGCAATGGTGTGTCCTTTAAACCTCTTTCCTTTATAAATTTCCTTTATACCGGTCTCAGGTATGTTTTTGTTAGCAGCACCAGGACAGACTAATACAGTAAATTGGTATAGGGTAGTGGGGTGCTGCTGTAAAAATAAGCAAAAATGTGGAAATGACTTTGGAACTGGGTAACAGGCAGGGATTGGAACAGTTTGGAGAACTCAGAAGAAGGCAAGAAAATGTGGTAAAGTTTGGAACCTTCTAGAGACTTGTCAAATGGCTTTGATCAAAATGCCGATAGTGATAAGGACAATAGATCCAGGCTGATGTGGTCTCAGATGGAGATAAGAAACTTGTTGGAACTGGAGCAAAGGTGATTCTTGCTATGTTTTAACAAAGAAACTGGTGGCATCTTGTCCCTACCCTAGAGATCTGTGGAACTTTGAACTTAAGAGAGATGATTTAGGGTATCTGGTAGAAGAAATTCCTAAGCAGCAAAGTATTAAAAAGGTGACTTGAGTACTGTTAAAAGCATTTGGTTTTATGCACTCAGAAAGATACAGTTTGGAATTAGAACTTACATTAAAAAAAAAAAAAAGCAGAGCATAAAAGTTCAGAACTCTTGCAGGCTGACAATCTGATAGAAAAGAAATATCCATTTCCTGAGGAGACATTCAGGCCATCTGCAGAAATTGTCATAAGTAATGAGGAACCAAATGTTAATCCCCAAGCCAATGGAAAAAATGTCTACAGGGATGACAGAGGTCTTTACAACAGCCCTTCCCATTGCAAGCTGGGAGGCCTAGGATGAAAAAATGGTTTCTGTGGGCCAGGCCAGGGCCTTGCTGTTTTATGCAGTCTCAAGACTTGGTTCCCTGCGTCCTAGCTGTGGCTCAAAGAGGCCAACATAGAGCTCAGGCCATTGCTTCAGAGGGTGCAAGCCCCAAGCCTTGATGGCTTCAGGCAGTATTGGTCTTGTGGGTACATAGAAGTCAAGAATTAAGGTTTGGGAATCTCCACCTAGATATCAGAGGATGTATGGAAATGCCTTGATGTCCAGGCAGAAGTTTGCTGCAGGAGAGGAACCCTCACTGCTAGGTCAGTGTCGAAAGGAAATGTAGGATGGGAGCCCCCACAAAGCACTGAGGGCACTGCCTAGTGGAACTGTGAGAAAGGGCAACTCTCCTCCAGACTCCAGAATGGTAGATCCACTGACAGCTTGCACCATGTACCTGGAAAAGCTGCATAGTACTGCAGTCATAATACTATGAAATAAAACAAAAAATTCAGCTTCTGTTTTATTTTCTTTTAGTAATACACAAATCTGGTTCCTAATTCTTGTGCCAAAGTGCAGAGACTGGTATATTTATTAAGCATAAGTAAGCATATATAAAAATAACCTAATAATATCTTGTGGAATCTAAAAAAATCTACCTAACAAGGATAAGAAACTATTTATTAAAAGGATATTTGGTGGTTCCCATGGTCTTTCTATACAGGTGCCCAAGACCATGGAAACCCACCTCTTGCATCAGCATAACCTGGATGTGAGACATGGAGTCAAAGGGGATCCTTTTGGAGCTTTAAGATTTGACTTCCTCACTGGATTTCAGACTTGTGTGGGACCTGTAACCTCTTCATTATGGCCAATTTCTCCCATTTGAAATGCATGTATTTACCCAATGCCTGTACCCTCATTGTAT